TCTTCTAAACTATCACCACCAACCAGTATGCAAGTTCTGAGGTCGGTATTTTTTGCAAATTCTTTACATACTTTTTGTGTCTGAAGTGCTAACTCACGTGATGGTGACAATACAACTGCACGTGCACCAACCTAATTAACGAGAATGATTAGAAATGTACTTTTATATAAACTATATATTGTTTAATATATACCATAGCAGAGTGGGTTTTTAACTTTTCCAACATTGGTATCAAGAATGCTGCTGTTTTACCGGATCCTGTTCGTGCCATGGCTACAACGTCATTCCTATCCATAATAAGCGGAATTGTCTTGCGCTGTATAGGCGTTGGCACTTTAAAACCCTTATGCAGTATTGCTTTATATATCGGAAAACTTAGACCTATTGAGAATAAAGAACATAAATTAAGGTTCTTATCTCAAAAGTTGCTTCACATTACAGATAAATTTATACCCATTGATTGAAATCCTCCGGATTTTTTCTTTTTCCGATTTTTGGCTTGAAGTTGTTTAGAAATGAAAGTTGCTTCTTCTTCAGATGCTTCCTCGCCATTTTTGATTAATGAGGAAGAAATATCCGCAATATTATCACTGTCACTTTCTACGCTACTGTGTTCTGATTCTGTAGTTGATTCATTCATTTTTGAAAAGTAAATTTTTTTTGATAATTTTTTTTTTTATTGGAAAAAAAAAATCCTCCAATCAAATTCGTACAAATACTGATCCAGCCCAAGCATTTCACGAAAAATTTAACGGGATTTCAATTATCTAAAAATGTCGAATAAGAGAAAAGTAGTTATTGCATTAGATCCTTTTTCTGACGAGGCTTCGTATACTATAGACTGGATAATTGATAATTTCCTTAAACCTGAACGAGATGATATACATTTATTTTCAGCTCTGGGTTTGAATCTTGAATTTGACACAACTGAATTAGGTTCGCATTATTCATTGAACCTTTGCATTCGAAATTTTCTTTAACCAAATATCAATATTTCCGTTTAATTATTAGGAATGAATGTAAACTATGCAGCAAAGTATGTCGTGGATCTGGAAAAAGAAGTAATTTTTGCTAAATTATTAAAATTATTAAAATTACTGTATATAATTAATTATTAACTTTTTAATTTTTATAATTTGATATTTGGAGGTAGCACAAAAGACCAATGACGCAATGATACCATTCGTTAACAAGTTAAAAGCGAGATATGAAAGTCATAATAATGCTGAAGCAAATGTAAATAAAAAAATCTTTATTTATAGATATCAAAATTTTACAATTTAGTTAAATACCTTTTTTTCAAACGAAATCAGATCAAATGTCAAGTAGAAATAATAAAATCGAACTTAGATCCTCGAAACATTGTTGTAGATTTTACTGAAAAAGAGAAAGCTGATGTGCTTATAATGGGAAGTAGAGATTTATCAGCGTGGAAAAGGTTCGCGGTTCTTAATTTTATTTCGTGTCATATTAAATAACTTTCATAATATATTTTTATAATTATAATAAATTTTTCAATAGATTTTTCTTGGGAAGTTTTTCTGATTTCTGTCAACAGAATGCTCATTGTCCAGTTATAATTGTGAAAGGTCCACGAAAATGATAACTTATTTAATCCGAGGTCAAACTCGAAGATTTTTCAATTGGTTATTTTTGTCAAAGTTTTTTTATTTTAATAACTATAACTTAAGTAGAAGTTCTTTCTTTTATCATTTAATATAAATTCTATAAATTCTTCATTCCTTTCAACACGAAATTTTCATATTTTAATTATTAATAAGAGAAAATTTTGATAAGGAAAACCATAAAGAACTCATTCAATTGGAAGATAAAATGGATCTGATACAAAAAACAATATAGTCAGAAAAAATAAAAATACCAAAATTTGAAATAATGCTCATTACTTAAATAAAATACTTGGATTATTATGTATGGCATTTCATCAATGAGGATGATATCATGAGGGGAAAAGCAAATTGATGAAAAATATATAAAGAGCTTGCAATAAATTTATAAGTATTATTAGTCAAAATTGCCACAAGCAAGTTTGTGGG